AGCCAGGGCGTTGTCAAGCCTGACCTTAAAAACCTCTAAGGAAGGAGAGTCCCCAATCCTGTATGTATGGCCTTCTCCTTTTTTCCCAGATGTAGAGACTTTCATTTAGCCATATTAAAATGCATATTGGTTGCTTGTGCCCAGTTTACTGAGTGATCTGGATCACTCAATCAGTGACCTGTCCTATTCATTATTTACCACTCCCCCAATTTTTATGTCATCTGCAAACTTTATTAGTGGTGACTTCATGTTTTCTTCCAGGTCATTGATAAAGATGTTGTATACTGTAGAGCCAAGAGCCGATCCCTGCAGGACCCCACTGAAAACAGATTCACTCAATGACAATTCCCCATTTACAGTTACATTTTGAAACCTATCACTTAGCCAGCTTTTAATCCATTTAATGTATGCCATGTTAATTTTATATCTTTGTAGGTTTTTTAATCAAAATATCATGCGGTACCAAGTCAAATGCTTACAAAAGTCCAAGTATATGACATGAGTACTACCACTATTATCAACTAGACTTATAATCTTGTCAAAAAAAAGATGTCAAGCTAGTTTGACAGGATCTCTTTTCCATAAACCCATGCTGCGGGTTATTGATTACATTACCCTCCTTTAGTTCTTTATTAATCAAGTTCCATATCTTGCCTGGGACCAATGTTATGTTGACGGGTCTATAATTACCTGGATCATCCCATTTACCCTTTTTAAAAATTAGCACTACGTTAACTTTCTTCCAGTCTACTGGAACTTGTCCATTGCTCCAAGACGTCTTGAAACTCAACAATAAAAGTTCAGTGCGCTCCTCAGCCAGCTGTTTCAAAACTCTTGGATGCAGGTTATCTGGACCTGCTAATTTAAAAGTGTCTAGCTTCTGTTTAACATTATCCAGAGATACTAGTGGAATGGAAAGAGTGTTAGCACCATATTATGAGACTGCATCATCTGTTTTTCCCCAAATACAAAGCAGAAATATTTCTTCAACACTTCTGCCTTTTCTGCGTTGTTATTGATAATTCTATCATTTCCATCTAGTAATGGGCCAGTAACATTGTCAATATTCTTTTTGTTCCTAATATATGTATAAAACTCCTTTATTGTCCTTAAATCTGTTGACCACAGATTTCTCTGTGTCCCTTGGCTTCTCTTATCAGTTTTCTACTATTCCTAACTTCTGATTTATATTCATTACCATCAGCTTCTACTTTCTTCCATTTGTTGTTGTTTTTTACAGCTATCTTTGATTCCTCTTTAAACTAGGTTGTTTTTTTAACCAGCACAGCCTTCTTCCTCAGTTGTGGGATTGTAGCTTTTTGGGCAGCAAGTAAGGTGGTGGTAAATGATTCCCAATTATATTAACATCTTTCTGATTGAATTACTGCTCACAGTTGATTTGGCTCATAATTATTTTCAGCTTTGTAAAATTGGCCTTATTGAAGCACTGTGTATGCAGGACTTTATTGTGCTTGTGCATTATGAATGTGATCAAGTCATGGTCACTTGTACCTAAGCTACCATTAACTTTTAGTTCTGTGATTGGTTCCTTTTTATCTGTTAGGACAAGGTCTAATATAGAATTCCCTCATCTTGGCTGCAACACTTTTTGAGTTAGGAAATTGGAATTTCTAAACATTTATAGATGGCAAAGATGTTTTAGTACTGGCAGCAAGAGACCTCCCACGTGTCACATGAAGTACCCAATGATCACAATGTGACGCTATGTCCCATATTCTTCATAGAGATATTGTTATGATATGAATATGGCATAATTAAGATGCTTTATGCAAGATGGGTCATGTGAGGCAGTGGTTTTTCAAACGTTTTTTCTGGCGACCCAGTTGAAGAAAATTGTTGATGCCTGCAACCCAACGGAGCTGGGGATGAGGGGTTTGGGACGTGGGAGGGGCTCAGAGCTGGGGCAGAGGGTTGGGGTGTGGTGGTGAGGGCTGCGGGGTGGGGCCAGGAATGAGGGGTTCAGTATATGGGAGGGGGCTCTGGGTAGCGGGTTGGGATGCAGGAGTGGGGCAGGGCTCTGGGCTGGGGATGCAGGCTCTGAGGTGGGGCTGGTGATGAGAGGTTTGGGGGGCAGGAAGGGGCTCTGGGTTTGAGGGGGGCTGGGGCAGGGGATTGGGGTGTGGGGTTACCTCTGGCAACTCCCAGTCAGCGGCGCAGCAGGGGTGCTAAGGCAGGCTTTCTGCCTGTCCTGGCACCATGGACTGTGCTTGCCCTGGAAGCAGCCAGCAGCAGGTCTGGCTCCTAGGCGGAGGCATGCAAGCAACTCCATGCAGCTCTCACCCACAGGCACTCCTCTCCCCCCCCCCTCCCCCCCCCCCCCCCCCCCAGCCAGTGGGAGTGCAGAGACGGTGCTCAGGGCTGGGGCAGCGCGCAGGAGCCAGACCTGCTGCTGGCTGCTTCTGGGTTGCAGCATGGTGTCAGAACAGGTAGGGACTAGCCTGCCTTAGCTGGGCAGCACCGCCAATGGGACTTTTGACAGCCCTGTTGGCGGTGCTGACCAGAGCCAACTTGACCCAGTGCCTTACATTCCGCGACCCAGTACTGGGTCGCGACCTGCAGTTTGAAAACCACTGATGTGAGGTATCATTGGAAAGGTTATGATTTACTGAATATAATTATTTGTATGCATGTGTCATTTCTGTATCTGAAGTTAGGAATATTGACTATGTAACAATTACAAGTGGGTTTGTACCTGGGGAATGCCCACAGACAGAATGCAATGAGTCTGGCTAGTTAGTCAATGGGCCATTAGGGAGAACAATAGGACTTTGACGATGCTAAACTCCCACCTTCCTGGGACTTCTTCCTGAGGATTTATGGCTGCTTTGACACTGCAGGATCATGTCACCTGGTACTGGACTCCATTTTGGACTGCTACTATTTTTCCACTAGTAGTGGGTTGGGATCAAACTGGGAAACAAAGGATTCCCGTCATATATAAATCCTATTTAAGGGGAGTGAGTTAATCAGGGTCGGTTCTTCACTGAATCGCTGCCCTAGATGACTGCTAAAAACACCTACGACTGATCTGGGGAAGAAGGGACTGGACCCAGGGAAGAATGTGCCTGGCCTGTGAAAGGAGTACTTGGCGTTCTAAGCTGCAAGCAAGAGCAGTTTGTCTTCAGGAAACTCTGCAACCTGCTTTTAAAGCAACATTTAGGGTGAGAAATTACTACTTGTAGACAGTTTCTTTAGTGTACTAAGTTTAGTTTGCATGTTTGCTTTATTTGCTCAGTAATCTGCTTTGATCTGTTTGCTATCTCTTTATAACCTCTTAAAAATCTATCATTTGTAGTTAATAAATTTGTTTTCTCTAAACCAGTTTGTGCAATTCATAACTGCGGGGCAAAAAGCTGTGCATATCTTCCTCCACATTGAGAGAGCAGGTGATTTTCATGGGCTTACGCTGTACAGTTCTCTGTGCAGCACAAGACAATACATTTTTGGGTTTGCACCCCAGAGCGGGTGTGCACTCGAGTACTGGGCAATTCCGTAGCTGATTCTTCCCATGCAGAGCTGATTTCAGTGTCTGTGTCTGTCTTTCTGCAGCTGGGCATGTCCCTACCTGTGTGTGTGCTGGAGGCAGCTTGAGGGCCTGGCAGAGCAGGACAGGGTCAGGGAGCCCAGGCTGGTAAAACAGGCAGTTTCAGTGGGACTCCAGTACATCAGGTGGCACCCTGGAGTGGAGGGTAACCTGTCACACACAGGTTCTTTTCCTACACATTGTAGAAAGGTGCATAAGGAAGTGGTCCTCCTGTTCCCTAGTGTGATTTGGTGGTCTGTAGCCAACACCAACTAGTACCCGATCTTATGCTTTTGGTGTTCGGGCATTGATCCATAAGGCCCCAAGATAATTTTCTTCTCAGTTATCAGTGACTTGGAAACAGGTAATGCCAGTTTTGGCATAGAGTGCTACTCCCCATCCTCTCTCGCTCACTTGATCATTTCTAAATGGGCTCAGCACAGGTAATAGTACCAGTGGGCAGCAGTCCACATCACAAAAACTGTCACCATGATTGGTGCTCATGGATATAGAGGCCAGCAAGGGTGACAACTAGTATGTCATTGTACAACTAGAGACAATTGTCCTTTCCCCTAACTCCCTAGAAGTCCCACCAGGTTACACTGGAAGCACTTTGGAGAGGAAACTTGCATTATCCTGTCCATGTCATACTATACGGTGGATAAATAGAAGACTTCAATGTCCAGAGCTGTCAGTTTCCTTTCAGAAACACTGCATTAACAACAACAAAAACGTTGTAAAAGTTAAGGACGGTCAATAAGTCTGGTTTTGGACTTTGTTGTATCTATAATGTTAAACTGGAGTGAGTCTACTTAAGTTTATTTTGTGTTTATAAATATGTATATTTGGCTTGGGGACATAGGGAATGTTGATGTTTGTTGTACAGTTTGCGAGAACACTGAACAGTTTGAAATGAAGTTGCCCAGCAGTTTCTCCCCTTTATTACTTTTTTAGGTAACAGAAAAAGACTGAAATGTGGAGTGGGGAAGAAAGAGTTGTTATGAAATAGGACTCGTTTCAAGCTAAGCCTTTTTTATATTCTCTCATTTTGAGGGCACCATGAGATTGGCTCAAGGGTGGATTCTCCAGTGCTGGACATTGTTCTGACTTGAGAGCATCTGCATGTAGGGTGTTGGGGCTTTCTTTCCTATATGGTCTGGTGACATGCATTTAATCAGTGCCTCTTTAGGATTGCAGGAGTGGGGAAAACAGGCCTTTGAACTAAGGTAAAAGGCAGTGCCATTCTGTAAATAGGGCATCAGGAAGTGATTGAAGTTGACCTATCTCCCAAGCCCAAATGCTTCTTTTCATTTCTTCTCATTGTACCAGCCTGGGGATGGGACTCCAAGTGCCTCTTTCGTCTGAACCCTGCTCATGTTGACACGTCATTATCAACACACATTCTGTATGTATTCGTAAATGCTGATTTTTCTCCTTTTGTCTGACTGTGTGCTAGGTACCCGAATCATCTACGACCGTAAGTTTCTGTTAGATCGCCGCAATTCCCCCATGGCTCAGACCCCACCATGCCATCTCCCAAATATTCCAGGAGTCACCAGTCCTGGTACCATGGTCGAGGGTTCCAAAGTGGAAATAAACAATCTGAACAATCATGACAGGAAGAATGCAATGGGTAAGAGACACTGGGTGATGGTAGTGGTTGATGCTCTGGTTAATTTCTTTATAGCTCCCTTATTTGTGATTTTTAGCAGATCTTGTGCTCAGATATCATGGTGATGGGCTCATTATATATAAATATCTGCGGCCTGAAATTTAATATGTAGGTTTCCTTTCTCAGAGTGATATTTTTTTTCCATAATAGTTCAGTAATTGTTGTTTAAGTCTCACGGAGAAGTTTTTGGTACTCCTCCCTCTTTTGGGTAAAATTTGTTTGGGTAAAATGTGTGTGTGTGTGTGTGTGTTTTTGTTTGTTGGTTCAGGATTTTTTATTTTTTAAGCAGGGAGCATTTGGGTAGATGGGAGTGTCAGTGTGCATGCCATTCTTGCCATAGTAGAAAAGCTTTTAAAAAAACACAGAGAGCACATTTGAAGATCAAAAACTCTTATGTGTACAGGGATGTGATTAAACAAGTAACTGTTTCCTGCTGTACCCTATCTCCCCATAGACAATGGGCCACTGGGTGGCTTTCAAACTTTTTCTTTTTTTAATGAGATGTGGGTAGCAAGAGTCAATGCTCATAACTTCAAGGGACAAAGTGTCTCTTGCAGTAATATATGTTCATAGGACTGTACATGCATTAATTAATATTTAGCAATAACTAGGACATTTGCATTGAAGTCAAGGCTGTTACTGATCTTCATAGGACCTTTTACAAATAAAGAACCTAAAATAAATTGATAAAAATTTGTGACATTTTGGTGATTTTTTTTTTTTTTTTTTTTTTAAGGCTGCCAACTTAAACCAATGATTACTGAGACAGGGCTGTGCACTCTGTCCTTAATGCATACTGTAAGTGATTGCAGCATCTCCCAAGAAGAGCATGTTCTTCCATAATGGATTATCTGATTTGCCCTATGTGCTGCGCAAGGTTAATTATGGGAATTAAAACTACCATTCTATTATTTACCAGAAGATACGTTAGGAAATAGCATTGGGAGGTATATTGAGATTGTCTTTCCTCTTGAGGGCTTTCTGAGATCTCTCTCTAATGCAGCTCTCCTTTTTCTGTTGCCAGGGGATGATGCTCAGTTTGAGATGGACATCTGATTACCCCAGAGCGTAACCATGGAGAGGCAGCAATTCCTGATACCTGTGCATACTCGATTCTGCTAATCGGATCAGTAACTGAAAGGTGGAAGAGGCGGCGGTAGCAGCAGTCTCCATCAGACTCCCCACCTCATCTTCCAAGTGCCAAAGGATAGGAATCTAGCTCCCCAATCCTGCTCCCCCCACCCTTTTTAACTCCCATCTCCCTGCTCTGTGACTGAATGGATGCCCTTGTCAAATTATACAGAGCTGAGGAACACTCCGAGTGGAACCTTGGCATCTCGCACTTTAGAGGCACCCTGTCAAACCATACACAAGCGAGAACGTACCTCCATCACCAACTGGATATTTATTGCAAACAGCAAAGGGGCCAGGGACTGGTGGATTTATGCTAAGTGGAGATGGCTTTTTCTGTGTTCCCCTCCCTTCAGCCTGATCCCAGCTCACAAAGGGCTTATGTTTGCACAGCAAGTAACCAGTTGTAATATGGTATCTCAAATACTTTTGATCACTCGCATTTTAGAAACTGCAAGGAATAGTGGGAGAACGGGTAAGAGTCTCTGCTCAGTCTGAGTTCCTTTTCCTCAGTGGGCAGAGCACTCACTTGAGTAACTCTGGGGGAACCTGGGTACTAGTCCCACTTGTGACCTTTCTCCATGACTCTGTGCCCTGCAATGTAACATGCGTCTCCAGAAGAGAGAACATAACCTTAATTCATTTGCTCTTGTACCTCCTTGGTTTCCATCCCACTGACAAACTTTTTGATAATACTTCTTAAGGTTATGTGTATTTAGTGGAAGCTGTCAGTTCATTATACTGCTGATTCCTCTTCCTTTCTTTCTATCCCAAAGGAATGTCACCCAAAACTTCTCACTTTCAGAAACTTAACCCTTTATTCCCTGAGTACTTTGAATGCTAAATCAAAACTTTTTTTTTTTTCTGGGATATGGGGGAGGGGTATCTTATATTATCCTCAGGACTTCCTCCATTTTTGCCCTTTTGCCCTTGTTAGTTTCTCCTGGTTTCTTTGCTGGTCCACACTGTAGACTGTTTTATTGGAGGTACTACAGTAATGATTAATTTCCAACATCCCCCATCTCTCTTGCATTAGGGGGAGTGTTTTTCCCCACTAACAGTTTTAATGAATACACTTATTAAATGTTTATAGTTTCAATTTTAAGACCTCCCATCAGAAGGGAAAAAGCGAATGTCAACAAGCACTCTCTGAGGAACAGTGGGCCTGCTTCTCATCTTACACCATCCTTCCATTCATAGTTCACTGTGCTCCTTTCAATCACTGGCTCCATTACTTTTCCTCCAAGATCCTTTGTTGTTAACTTTTATGTTCACTGCTGGGGTGTATATTGGCTGACTTGTAAAATTGAACATTCGCCTGCATGGGTCATTTTTGGTTCCACACTGTCCAGTTTTGGTCCTGTCCATATCTTGCCAAAGGGACTAGCTGGACTAGTGTAGATTTTGACAAGAGTGTGGTGCTTCTGGCCAATTCCTGTCTGGCCTTGCCACTTGAAAGTTCTTGATGGGTTTGATTTAGTTGCTGAGGGCATCACTCAAACTGTAGCTGGACTTGTTTCCCATTGCCCCGCTTGCTGGGAGACTGTGTATCTGACATGTGAGTCAGAAATTTACACAGCTCAGTTATAAATTGGAAAAGACAGTTTTCTATTTTGGTATGCAAAAGGGACACTTTCCTGGTAAAATACTACTTTGGGGAAGGAAGGTTTCCTCAAAAACTCATTTTCCCCCTCTTCCCTTCAAAATGTGAATAACACAGGAACAAAAGCCCTTTGTAATGTTTGATCTCTCAGGAATAAACTCTTTAGTGTATCTGGGAAATGCAGGGTCTCCTTAAAGCTTGGTGATGGCCAGAAATGTGACTAAAACTACACCTCTATGTCCTGTATTTATTCTCTGGCATTATTCCACCTATGTTTAGTATGAAGGACGCATAGAAAGCTCAGTTGTACTTTGTGTCTCCCAGATCCAATTTGTTCAGTTCAGATATTTCTAAAGTGCACTACGAGTTCTGCCTCATGTAGGAAACTGTTTGACTTTTTTTTTTCCATTCTGCTTCATGCATCATCACTAACAATAGTTGCTGGAATTTAGCAGGTAGTTTTGTTGATGAGGCAGAACAGAATCCAGATTTGCTCTGTAGTGCTGATAATAGTAAAAACTTGGGTTTGTCAGTGAACTAAGCAGAGTTGATTTGGGAGAAACAGGAAGAAAAAATGGGCAGTGACGAGGTATCATTAGTCACTTTTCTCATCATAGTGATACATTTTGTTTTGTTCGTAACTTCTCAGCTTTTCAAAGCACTGCACAGGTGTTCAGCTATTTGACTCTTTTATTACAAGAATTGTGCCGCTAAAATCCTGTTGCAACACTGAAAATGTATCCCTAAGTGTACAGTGCAGTAAGAGCTTCCATTATGCAACAATCCTCTTAGCTGTCAGCTGGAGAAATCATTCTGACTTTTGTCAACTTGAGATGTACTTTTTTTTAAGTACCCAAGGTAAGAAACAAGCATCCAGAGAGGAAAGGATGGTCTGGTAGTTGAGGCATCGGAGTAGGATTAGGAAAATCTGGGGTTTGTTTCTGGCAATGCCATGGTATTCCTGTATGACCTTGAGCAAATGACTTAGTCTCTCTGTGCTTTAGTTTCCCATCTGTAAAATAGGGATAACAGCATTTCCCCATGTCACAACGGTGTTGTGAGGATAAATTCATTAGTATTTGAGAGACTGTCAGATACAATGGAAATAGGGGTTATAGGAAAGCATAAAAATATATTATTTTAAAAAAGCACAGGAGGATGTCATGAAAGTTGAGATTGTGTTAAAAGCAACAGCATTTTGTGCAGTGATAGGTCCTCTACTGACTTGTGCTTTATCTCTTCCCCCCAACTTCCCTGGACATGCCGTGGTGCCATGAAAAATGGTGACTGCATAAAAATAGTGCACTCAACAAACTCTCACTTTGCTAGTCAGTTTGGATAAAGAGTTTTCACCTATTTTGGTCAGTGCAGTGCCCGGTAACCTTAATGCCCTGTAAGAAGCGATTCCACACAGTCATACTCCCACATTCACACTTTCAGTTTGAATTTAGATTTTGATTAAAATCTGCATTTCTGTGCCTCCTGCTGCTTATCGCTCTGTTAGGCGATCAGTTGCATCTGCAGTGTGGGGTGGAACCTAACATACCTTCCACCTTGGTGTCATCCTAGTTGAACAATCAAAATCTGAATTCAGTCGTTTGCCATTTAAAATTACACCATCAGGTTAAAAACAATTTATGTTAAACATGTCATGTCCTGTTTGTCAGTAAAACTGATACAAAATATAATTAATTTATTTTTATCCATTAATTCTTGTTTACTATTTCCACTACACTTAGCTTTGGAACATAAGAATGGGCAGTCTGGGCCAGACCAAAGGTTCATCTAGCTCAATATCCTGTCATCCAACAGTGGCCCATGCCAGGTGCCCAAGAGGGAACGAATAGAACAGGTAATCATCAAGTGATCCATTCCCTGTTGCCCATTGCCAGCTTCTGGCAAACAAAGGCTAGGGACGCCGTCACTGCCCATCCTGGCTAATAGGTCTATAAATGGCTATCTTCCATGAACTTATCTAGTTCTTTTTTGAACCCCATTATAGTCTTGGCCTTCACAATATCCTCTGGCAAGGAGTTCCACAGGTTGATTGTGTGTTGTATGAAGAAATACTTCCTTTTGTTTGTTTTAAATCTGCTGTCTATTAATTTCATTTGGTGACCCCTAGTTGTTGTGTTGTGAGAAGGATTAAATAACACTTCCTTTTTTACTTTCTCCAGTGAAAGTGGACAATGAAAATATTCAGTTACTTCTTAAGCACCACAACTGCAGGGTAACACTTAAGTCCAATCTAAATGCTCTGTTTGTTAAAACTGAAGGGAAGATGATAATGTTCAGTTTTATAAATTCTTTATTTTGTTTAAACCTAAATTTTGCACTTAAATTTTTGTGTCCCAGACATTACAGGTCAGATCTTTCCCTGCATTAGGGCAGCTTTGTCTCACCCCATCAGTGCCCTTTTTAACCAGTTTTAGGCTGCTGCAGGATTCTCCGTGCATAGTGAGGTCTTTGGGTGGTGCAGAGCCATCATGGCAGTTCTTATACTCCCCCTGCTCCTTGCATTCAGCACAGGGGACGAGGTTAAGGCAACCCTTGGCTACTGTATTGGCCCCTTGGCAGCTAAAACAAGTTAGAGTAGCCCTTAGACTGCTCTAATTTGTGCTTTGGGACTAGCTCAAAAGAGTGGGGAACAGCTTCCTCCTTATCTGATATGTTCAGCTTTAATCCTTATTTTTAACCATTAAAACATAGGGCCTGGATGATGCACTGGGTTAGTGCAGGAGCCTATTCACCTTCAGGGACCTGGGTTCAGATTCTATCTCTGACCATAAATAAAAATGAATCTAGCAGGTTCATCCTAATTCCTACTACTCCACTTCATAAAAC